TTCTCCGCCATCTGAGTGGCATACAATGTCTGCACCGTGGCCCTTTGTTGCTTGGGGAATTGATGTCATTGGACCAATTGAGCCAGTGGCATCAAACGGGCATAGGTTCATTCTGGTGGCCATCGATTATTTCACTAAGTGGGTTGAAGCTAAGACTTTCTAATCTGTGACCAAGAAGGCAATGGTCATTTTTGCTCATTCAAATATCATTTGTCGGTTCAGAATCCCAAAGGTAATCATCACAGATAATAGTGTTAAACTTAACAGTCATTTGATGAAAGACGCATGCCAACAGTTCAAGATTACGCATTAGAATTCCACTCCGTATCGCCCCAAGGCAAATGGAGTTGTTAAGGCGGCCAACAAAGACATAAAGAAGATACTTCGGAAAATGGTGCAAGGTTCCAGGCAATGGCATGAAAAGTTGTCATTTGCTTTGCTGGGTTATCGCACTACTGTTCGCACTTCAGTAGGTGCAACTCCTTATTTGTTGGTATATGGTACTAAAGCAGTGATACCGGAGGAAGTTGAAATTCCATCTCTTCGGATTGTTGCTGAAGCCGAAATTGATGATGATGAGTGGGTCAAAACTCGTTTGGAGCAATTAAGTCTGATTGACGAGAAACGACTGGCAGTAGTATGTCATGGTCAGTTGTATCAAAAGAGAATGGCAAGAACATACAACAAGAAGGTGCGTCCCAGGAAATTTGAAGTGGGTCAGCAAGTATTGAAACGCATCCTTCCACATCAGGCTGAAGCGAAAGGCAAGTTCGCCCCGAATTGGCAGGGGCCGTTCATTGTAATGAGAGTGTTGTCCAATGGTGCTTTGTATTTAACAGATATAGAAGGCAAACATGTAGATATGGCTGTCAATTTTGATACGGTCAAGAAATATTATGTATGACTTCTTTGGTTTGTCTAATTGTTGTTTGTACTTGGCATATTTTGAAGGTTGGAATGACGAAGGCATTTTATTCTGCTATCTAAACACTTTATCCTTTGTTACCCCTTTGAGCATTATTTATTTTCTTTCATGCCCCTCTTTTGGAATCAGTAGCAAAGTTTAGAAACACGGACACAAAAGGTAAATAAAGAAGAAAAAGAGGAAAAGAAAAAAAAAGAAATTGAAAAAAGTAAGTAAAGCAAAAGAAAGAGGGGAAAAAAAGAAAGGGAAAAGAAGAAGAAGAAGAAAAGAGAAAGAAAAAAGAAAAGACAAGTACCAAAAAATAAAGTAATTCCTATGTCATGAACTACGTTCGACTTGATTCCTTTTAAGGATACGTAGGTAGCCTCACGGTTCGGTCCCATCATATAAAAATTCAAAAGTCCCCAAGCAAATAAATTGGGGTAGAAGTTGTGGGTTTTGTAAAAGATCTGATTCCAAAAATTGTAATTTTGAACCCATTCAAGTTATTTTGATCATTTATGATATCCTTTCTTTCTAACCCTATCCAAAAGCATACATTGCGGTCCAAAGAAAGACCTTCCGATAAATCTTTGAGAATGCCAAGTCGAGCGAGATAGAGGTAAGATTCGCATCAGGGGCAACACTCTGTTCTACACAAGGAAAGTGAATAAATGAGAGTCTTATTGGTGAAAACCCACACGGGCACCGTAAGGCGATGGAAAGATGAGAGAAATTAAAATGAGAGAGTCTTATTGGTGAAAACCCTCATGGGCACCGTAAGGCGGCGGTGAGTTTAGAGATGAACAAATGAGAGAGGTTTGTTGGTGAAAACCCTTCAGGGCGCCGCAAGCCGAACAAGGTTGGTGATTTTGCAAAGAGATTGGATTATGGAAACCCCGGGGCATAAAGTATGAAAACTGAAAGGTGATTGGTTGAACAGGCTAGGCCGATTAATCTAAAATGCATGTCATGATCATTGGTGCCAGCTGCCTCACTCAGATAAGTCTCTTTTACTTTTTTTGCTCAAATAGTCTTCCTGTTTTGAATTTTCTTCTTTATTCCTAACTCTCGAAGTCATTGCATTTCATTCTTTTGGGTCTACTTCTCTAAGGCTTTTACAATGATAGCCTTGTTAAGCAAGTAAGAAAGGATTTCAAATCTTATTACCAACTTCCAAATTGAACAAAGCAAGTGCGGCCAAAGCATACCAGAAATAGCATGTTGCAAAATGAAAATAAAGTGTTAGTGGAAGTTCAAGTGGTCGAGTGGTTTTGTAAATTTTGTGGAAAATACAAAGGTTCAAATTGGAAGGACAGAAATGTAAAATAGCGGGTTGAGTGCAGGGCGCTCGGGTCATTCAGGGTCCTGTGGTTGAGGGTCAGTCAAAAGGTCAAACAATTCTTTGCCAGTCGGAGGAAGCTAATCAGAACAAAGCATGGCAATGGGAAGGCCACCTTCAGCAAGAATGCCGCAAACTAACCACCGCATTTTCAAACTGATAAATTTTCTTTGATTGAAATAGGGGCAGAAAATTTCGTTTGTTCCGGAGGAACCCTCCGTGAGGAAAGCATGTACCAGACAGGTTCGGCCGTAAAATTTTCAGGACCCTCCTGGATAATGGGATTTGGCTTAAAATTTTCAGGACCCTCCTGGATAATGGAATTTAATTTACAGTTTTCAGGACCCTCCTGGATAATGGGATTTGGCTTAAAATTTTCAGGACCCTCCTGGATAATGGAATTTAATTTACAGTTTTCAGGACCCTCCTGGATAATGGGACTAGTTAAATTTCAAGACCTTCATAGATAACAAGACTTTGCGTAAGTTCTACCTTTAGGAAATATAACTTAGTTTTAAAGTTTTCACTCTTAAAATGAGACGTATTTTGAAATTTTCAGGGTCCTCCTAGATAATGGAATTTAGCTTTTAAATTTTTAGAGCTCTTTTGGGTAATATGATTCGATTAACACTCACACATGTGCCTAGATACCAAACTGGGGCAAAAAAGTTTCTTTTGTTTTGTCTGTTTTGTTGTAACGGCAGGCGCCCACATGGATAACAAGGGAATACATTTCAAGTTTTGGCAATCAGGCGCCCACCTGGAGAACAAGGAAATACAGTTCAAGTTTTGGAAATCAGGCGCCCACCTGGAGAACAAGGGAATATCGTTTAAGCTTTGGCAATCAAGCGCCCACCTGGAGAACAAGGGAATACAGTTCAAGTTTGTGGAAATCAGGTGCCCACCTGGAGAACAAGGGAATACAGTTCAAGTTTGTGGAAATCAGGTGCCCACCTGAAGAATAAGGGAATATCGTTTAAGCTTTGGCAATCAGGTGCCCACCTGGAGAACAAGGGAATACAATTTAAGTTATTGGCAATCAGGCGCCCACCTGGAGAACAAGGGAATACAGCTCAAATTTTGGCAATCAGGCACTCACCTGGAGAACAAGGGAATACAGCTCAAATTTTGGCAATCAGGCACTCACCTGGAGAACAAGGGAATACAGTTCAAGTTTTTGGCAATCAGGCACCCACATGGAGAACAAGGGAATACTGTTCAAGTTTTGGTAATCAGGCGCCCACCTAGAGAACAAGGAAATACAGTTCAAGTTTTGGCAATTAGGCGCCCACCTGGAGAACAAGGGAATACAATTCAAGTTTTGGCAATCAGACACCCACCTGAAGAACAAGGGAATATAGTTCGAGTTTTGGTAATCAGGCACCCACCTGGAGAACAAGGGAATACAGTTCGAGTTTTGGCAATCAGGCACCCACCTGGAGAACAAGGGAATGTAGTTTAAGTTTCGGCAATCAGGCGCCCACCTGGAGAATAAGGGAATACAGTTCAAGTTTTTGGCAATCAAGAACCCACCTGGAGAATAAGAGAATACAGTTCAAGTTTTTGGCAATCAGGCGCCCACCTGGAGAACAAGAAAATACAGTTCAAGTTTTGGCAATCAGGCATCCACCTGGAGAACAAGGGAATAAAGTTCAAGTTTGTGGCAATCGGGCGCCCACCTGGAGAACAAGAGAATACAGTTCAAGTTTGTGGCAATCAGGCGCCCACCTGAAAAACAAGGGAATTCATTTCAGAATTCAATTCGAGTTAGCAACAAAAGAAGCTCCCCTCAAGAGTACAAGTCAACAGTTCAAGATGCACAGTAGAGCTGTAGAAGATTCAAGATCAAGTTTTGAAGTCATATAGATAGGAATTTTGTAACTCATAGCTGATAGGATTAATTAGTCTTTTTAATCTTGATTTTTGATGTAATAACAGGACCGCGGACCGGAACCTCGGCAGAACGGCACCTCACTCGACTCTCCAACTCATCCTACCAAAACCTCCAGAACTACACTGAACTGATTCCTTTATAGCCAAGGATATGTAGGCAACCTCGGAAGCAAGGTTCGGTCAGATATTTCAAAAAATGCTTGCCATGGAGTATCCAAACGGGCAAAAATCGCACGTATCCGCTCACTTTATCTTTGCCCGAAAACTCTTCGTGTTTCCGAGCAAAGAGGGGTAGCTATGAGCACGTAATTTTTGCCCTATGTGAAATACTCCTACAAATTAAAGAAATATATTTTCCCCAATTGTTTGCAATTTTATAGGACTTTTGTTAATAGCTTGCATTTTTATGCACGTTTAATTCTATTAAAATCATGAAAAATGCCAAAAAATACTATGCATTGCATTAAGATTTTTTTCACGTTTTAGGATTAATTAAGTTAGTTAATTGCCTTATTAAGATGAAAATCACAAAAAATTGGTTCACTTTTACATTTTTAGCTTTTTAATTTTAGATTAGTAATTTTCTCTTTTAATCTAGGAGCAACTAATTATTATAAATTTTATAGTTAGATAATTAGCTTGATTTTACGATTTAAATTAAAATTAATAATTTAATTTAGGTTTTTATTTAATTAAAAAAAAGGAAGAAGGAAATTGAAAAGATCGGTCTTTAAATTAAAATTGGGCCAAACTTGATGTCAAGCCCAAATTCCACCCCAAATACACCCCTTACCCAGCCCAAACCAGACCAATTTCTGACCCGCCCATTTCCCCCATCTAAAACCTAACCTGTCTCTAACAAAACAACACATCTAACCCTAGAGACAACACTGAAACGGCACCCATCTCCTAGCCCGTTTCTGCCCCGCTTCAACTCGCCGAGTTTGTTGGTCCCTCCTTGCATCTCTCTCCAACATGGCTTAACCATTTCTGACAGATTCTCTCTCCCTCACATGCGCTCTCTTTGTTTTTTTCCGGATTTTTACTCTTTTAGATGGAAATTAGGAAAAATGAGAGGCGTAGGATTGAGTGAAATTGGATCCACTCCCTCCATTTGTCCGTTTTTTCCATCAAAAAGGGTAAAAAATCAGATTTGGATTTTGCGAATTTTTGGGAGATTTCTTGGGAAGGAAGCATAGAAGGTTCGAGAATATTGGAGGTTTATATATAAAGTAAGGATTTTCTTGGTTAAGGGGTCAGAGATTTCTTTCGGAAATTGAGGGAGGTAAAAAGTTCGAGGGTTCTTGCTTTTCTTTTCTTCAGATTCCTCAATTTTAGTTTGCGCTTTTCAGAAAACAAAAATAAAAAATAGTCTGAGTTTGATTTTGTTTTAGTTTTACTTCATTTCAAAAGAAAAATAAAAAATTACCAAAATCTCAACATTTTTCTGATTTCTGATTCTCAAGAATGGAGTTGGATTGAAGTTTAAGTTGGAGCTTGTGTTTGGGTTCGGAATTTCGGTGCCGTTTTGAGTTCCGTTCGAGTTTGTTTCTGATTTCATTCGGCTTATTCTAGCTTTTCTCTGTTCAATCGGGTAAGTTTTTGGGAAACTTCTGTGTCTTATGCTATAGTGTCTTATTGAAAGGAGCTCTCAACAAGCCAAAATCTTCATACTGTTTTCTTTGAGTATTTTCATTATGAATAGTTAAACGATGACTAAATCCTTCAGTTAATTTTGATATACATTGTGTTTCTTAAGTGTTAATTATTGGTAGTGTCTTTATGTGAGAACTTTTATATCAAATGGCCCAATTTGAAGAAGCCAAGGGCTTTGCATGGATGAACTAGGAAATCTTCCTCCATATAATATGTGCAAGCCACTGGTCGTCCAACTTTCCTCTTTACTATTTTCTGATTCCATTTCCTCTGTTAGTTTTGGTTTTCCATTATTATGATGGTTACATCAAGCTCGTAATATTGTACTCCATTTTGTAAGTGTAACTAGGGGAGATACAACTAACGCAGGCTACACAAAATATTGTCGACTCTGTTCCATTTCATTACTGCATTTTAATTTTAGGCAATACTTGTAATTTTGTTTCTGTCCAGGTGGAGTCATTATAGTTACAACTATAAGAACGATTGCATAATAAACAATTTTATGTTTTTTTTAAATAAAGGTGAATAGATTTGCATGAAGGAAGTTTTTTTTTATTTAAGTTAAAATTCCCACTGAATTATTGGACTGAAACGGTGAAAGAATGGACATTTGACATTTTTAGTTTATGGGAGGAAACTGGAAACTAGAAAAAGAAGAACCAAGGGATGTTTTTGTTGATTTGCTAAATGTTGTCAAAAAATATATATATTCATAAAATGTTGGTGTTAATATAGATCATTTTTATACAAGTACTTGAATATGAAAATTGTTGTCATACTTTTTAAACCCTCACCCTGTATCTTGCTCTTCTGTTGATACTGCTTTACCTGTGTATACAAGTACTTCTGTTGATATGGCATTCACAATGTGTTGTGTCCTCTTTACCTGTTGAGCGTGAGCAAGCGTAAATGTTGCCATTTTGGCTTGTGCTAAGCTACTGGCTACTGTTAGGCCTGCCCAAAAACCATTTTCTTTATCAAATAATGGGCCTAGCCACATTTCTGATTAAATGAACTTGGCCCATGAGAGTTCGAACAGAATGTTAGACTTTGGTTAATTTTTTTTCGTTGTAATTTTATTTTGTTTAACTGGACCATTAGGAATATGCTTAGGCCGTTAATATTCATAAATATCGTAGTTTTCTTTAGGCACATAATTAAATCATCACAACTACGGGTATGGTTCTCATGGCGTGGCTGTGATCCCTAATTTCAAATTAATGTTAAATATGAATATCTGTAGTTCACCTAATTGAATGCTTTTCCTTTAATAAATTTGAGGCGTGCCATCCAATCACCTAGTCTATGACCCTCACATCGATATTTTAACTAGTGTAGAAAAATACCCTGAACTCAGTTTGTTTTAGGCGCGTTAATTAAATAAATTGTCATAGCTACGGGTACGGTTCCCGCGACGTAGTTGTGATGCTTAATTTCTAAAACCCGGGGGTACATTTATGTGACCCGGCGAAAAGTCTTGTTAATAAAATAAACATGTTATGGATCGTGGGTATATTCTCGTGACATGATTCACGACGTGTAATCAAATAATTGGTTGTATAACAATTGGATTATTAAAAGTGGTTTAAAAGAAATAAAATGCGCATAGGTTTAAAAGATGTTTTAAAATCAAATAAATAGGACAATATTAACAGTTGAGCAACCGTGCTAAAACCACGGAACCCGGGAATGCCTAACACCTTCTCCCGGGTTAACAGAATTCCTTACCCGAATTTTTGCGTTTCGCGGACTGTAAAACAGAGTCAATCTTCCTCGATTCGGAATTTTAAATCGGTGACTTGGGACACCATAAATTATCCCAAGTGACGACTCTGAATTTTAAATAAATCATCCCATTTCGATTGTCAATTAAATTAGAAAAACTCTCATATACCCTTCTAGGGGTAGAAAAGGGAGGTGTGACAAGTTCTTCTATGACTTCGTGCATATATGCTACATGTCCAAATTATTGTGGTTGCCTGTGTAGTTATCACATGCCTTACATGTCTTGTTGTTTTTGTAAAGGTTGTTGCATTCCTTTGAATCTTACGTGATTCTCTTGTTGTTGTGTACTCATACTCTTAGTGGTAGAAATTCTTGTAATTGAGTTGTTGAATTGTTGTTGTTGATTTAGATTATGTACGGTGGGATCGGGTTGCACGCCACAACAGGAGGAATAAGGGTGATATATTGAGGAGGAATAAGGGTGAATTGATATTGTATGGTGGGATTGGGTTGCGTGCCGCAACAAGAGGAATAATGGTGATATATTGAGGAGGAATACGGGTGAATTTATATTATATAGTGGAATCGGGTTGCGCAACGCAACATATTATGTTATTATTATGATATTGATAATATATGGTGGGATCGAGTTGCGCACCGCAACATATTATGATATTGATATTATACGGTGGGATTGGATTGCACGCATCAACAGGAGGAATAAGGGTGATATATTAAGGAGGAATAAGGGTGAATTGACATATCTTGTATTTTGGTATCCCTTGTTTTACTCTATTGAATTTAGTCATTCATGCAAGACTTTGATAATTTGTATTTTTGGTTTTCACTGAGTTTTGAGGATCGAGTTACTTACCTTGACTTATTGACTTGCCGTCATTCCCTGAGTTCTTTTCCTAATACTATTAATCTCGTGAATTAATTTTCAAAGTAAATTTACTACATTGAGTCATTTCCTCACTGAGTTGTGAGTAATATAGTGATTTAATATAAAGGAATTAATATCATGCTACCTTGTATGACTTTTAAGTTAGAACTCGTCGTATATATCTCAATATTACAAATTCTAATAAATGTTATATTTTATTTCAATTGACTTCTCAACTAAATTTTCTTAACCCGTCTGAGGTTGTATTTTCTTAAAAGGAATTGCTATTAAGTTTTAATTTAATAATTCCTATATTAAAGGCGATAGCTTATTTGGTGTTGTATTTTTATTTGAAAAGGGTATTTTCTTCACTCAAATGATTTCTAAGAATAACTTCATCTTTTCTCTCTGATTTCCTATTTGGTTTAGAAACTGTAATTTACTTTATGTTATATAAATGGGACTCTCTGAACATCTTAATTTGTGTTTGTTACGGGTATTACGTACTGAGTAGAATGTGGATTTTGTTGTATAAAGTGAGATGGAAATATGTGGGCACAAGGTTCCGTGCGTGTTAAAGGCTTGGAAGTTGTGATTTTGAGATGAGGTTACGAGTATCGGGATGGCTGGAATTTTGTGTATTAGTAACGATGTGATTGGTTGAGTTAGTATTGCTTTCCTTTATTTGATCACATTTTACTAATCTATATCCCAACTGTGTTGGTGTGAATTTACCTGGCTATTTTCGTTATCATTCTTGTTTTCCCCTTATCATCTCTATTGTTGTAATTTGATTTCTCCCTGCTATTGGCATTACCTTGTTATCTTTATCCTATTAGTTTATTATCATATCCTTTTCAATTTATTAAACCAACAGGTGTCTTGGATGTTCCTCGTCACTACTCCACCGAGGTTAGTCTTGATACTTATTAGGTACCGCTGTGGTGAGCTCATACTACACTTTTGTACATTTTTGTACAGATCCAGGTATTTGATCGTTAGTAGCTATGTGGATCGTTGTTGTGAAGACTCAAGGTAGACCTGTTACTGCGTTCGCAGGCCTCGGAGTCACCTTCTATTGTACTTATTTCCATTGTTTCCTTTTGTTCTGGAACAACAATGTATTCATTTTGTATAACTACTCCTAGAAAGGCTTATGACTTGTATTACGGGTTTTGGGAATCTTGTATTGTACAAAGACATCTAATTCGAAGTTAGTGAATATTATCATTATTTCTGTTAATGTTAGGCTTACCTAGTTTTAGAAACTAGGTGCCATCACAACTCCTTCGGATGGATTTTGGGTCGTGACAATTTGGTGTTGGATCATACCACTTACACTGAAAGAGTATCAATTTTTTCTTCGGCCGACCCATTTTATACTCAAGTTTTATGATCTCTTGAAGCACACCATAATAATCAATATCCCCATCGACTTTCACACACATTCCACTATTATTTATTTTCTTACCCTTAGACCAATTTTCTGTATGAAACTTGCACCCATGGATACAATCTTTCTGACTCTAGGATCATGTCCCCAGGCGATATCTTGCAAAAATCGATCATTTATGCCATTAACTGGATTATGAACATATAAAGGGTAAAATAATTTAAAATTATTTAAATACATATAACTTATTATAATCTACCGTTAATAAGACCATGTTAAATATTAAGTAACACTTACAAATTCTTGAAACCATTTTGAAAAACTTGGGATAAACAAGCTCTTGCCTATATATACCCACAAACCAACTGTTCGACAAAATAAAAAATGTCATTAGTTAAAGCGATGACGAATCTTTAATATATCGGTAATATAAATGTATACTTACTTATAGTAAGGTTGGACCTCTGGGCAATTCAAAAGCACATGTATTGTAGCTGACTTTAGTTCCATCTCACTCAAAAGTCGCTTTGGACCGCCTTTACCTAGTTGATTGAATATGGAAAATGGTGGATACGAAAGATCGGTGCTTCCATCGTCATGCTGATCAGGTTTATTTCTCAAATATGGCACATTATATTCAAAATACTATGAACAAAAATAAGAATTTTCTCTAGCCACATATGCCTCGAAAATCGATCCCTCAATCATAGATCTATTTTTGACAGTCTGCTTACATTTGCCAATAATCCTGAATATTAGCATTATTTTTATATTGTAATAACCCGACCGGTCGTTTTGTGTTTTAGAAACTTGTCCCCTAAATAAGACTCCTCGTATGTACTTTTACTGTTTATGACTTGCGAGGATGGTTAGTTCGGAATTTGGAAGGGTTCGGATTGAAATCAGAATACTTGGTTCCTTAAGTTGGCCTTAAAAGGCTAAGTTTGACTTCGGTCAATATTTTGAGTAAACAACCTCGGAATTTGAATTTGATGGTTCCAATAGGTTCGTATAATGATTTCGGACTTGGGCATATGTTCGGATCGGATTTTGGATGACCCGGGAGCGTTTCGGCGCCTAATATCGAAAGTTGGTTCTTTGAAGGTTTTAAAGTTCTTTAAATTTGGTTTGGAGTAGGTTTTGGTGATATCGAGGTCTGAACGGAATTTTGAGACCGGGAATAGTTCAGTAATGTCATTTAAGACTTGCACGTAAAATTTGGTGTCATTCTGAGTTGATTTGATAGGAATCGGACGTGTGGAAGCCTTTTTAGAAGTTTTTGAGTTCATGAGTCAATCCATGCGTTTTGGCGTCCGATTAGTAGTTTTTGATTTTATTTCTGTGTTTTGATCACTCGAGCAAGTTTGTATAAGGTTATTAGACTTGTGTGGGTAATTGGTGTGGAGCCCCGAGGGCTTGAGTGAGTTTCGGACGTTCGGGAGGGTGAGAAAACACTCCAGTTTTTTGGTGTTTATTGCTGGTGCTGCAGGTCTCGCAAATGCGAGAAAATGTTCGCATTTGCGAGAAGAGCTTCGCAATTTCGAAGAATCTCGACCTAGGGCAGTGTTCGCATTTGCGACCTCAGCAGTGTTCATATTTGTGACACTTCGTCGCATTTGCGACCTCAACAACTAAAGCCGAGGGTCTGCGTTTGAGAGAGGTTTGTCGCATTTGCGAACCCAGTGTCGCAAATGCAACATCAGAGACCTGTGCCCAGCTCATTTAATGCGGGACTTAGACCATATATCTCATTTCACTTCATCTCTTGGGCGATTGTTGGAGCTTCTGGAAGAGGGTTTTCACCTAGCACATTGAGGTAAGTAATTTCTATACAACATGAGTTAAATATATAGATTATGGGTAGATTAACATGTAATAATTAGTGAAAATCAAGGGTTTAGATGAAAATCTAGGTTTTTGATAAAAATTAAATTTGACCACAAAATTAGTTATGGAACTTAGTAACAACTTTCTTCGAAAATTTCCGAAATCCGGGCACGTGGGCTCGGGAGTGAATTTTAAGAATCTCACATTTAGGGTTGGATAACCTATTGCATAGTTGAAATAAAAAAATTTGAGTATGAATTGATTGGTTTATATACTATTTGATTAGTTTTGGGTTGATTCAACACCGAATTGAGGGTGTGAGCACATTCTTGGACCGGAAAGTAGGCCTTGAGATGAGCTAAGTCTCTTTTCTAGCCTTGTAAGAGGGAATTAACCTCATAGTTGAACTTAATTAATATGTGTTGTCATTTGTGGGGGCTGCGTACTCACGAAGTGACGAGAGTCCATATATAGCTACTATTGTTGCTTATATCCGAGTAGTGTTAGGCTCACACCATGCTTTTGTGGATATTGTTATCTGATTTTATTTGTTAATTGTATCGAATAGGGCTAAGTTAAGGATTTTAAGATTTCAAAGGTTTCAAGTTCAATTTCTTCTTTTTTTTAAAAGAATTGAGGGATGTTATGCTTAACCTGATAAATTATATTTAGCCGCGTCGCAAGTATATTCCGCGAGCGGGGTGACTTTTCCACTACTCTCATGGGAGCAGGTTATTCGCCTCGGCAGCTTAATCGATATATCTATGGTTCGGGCCGTTCGACCCTCGGCAATGCACAATATATTTATATTTATATTTGGATCGGGCCGAACGTCCTCAGTATAAATCGTGCGTAAAGATATTGGAACCCCTTTTTATATTTAATATTGTTTCATGGAATTGAAAGGTGAAAGGATTAGATGAGAGAATTGACTTGGTTCTTACTTGAAATGAAAGGATTGCTTATCTATTTTCCTGCTCTGAGTTTTGTTATCATTTTATATATCATGTTTGATTAGAACTTCATATTATTATATTGTTGGCCCATAGTAAGTGTCGAAGTCGACCCCTTGTCACTATTTCTTCGAGGTTAGACTAGATACTTACTGGGTACATGTTGTTTTATGTACTCACGCTACACTTTTGTACTTGATGTGCAGGATCTAAGGCAGGTGCATCTGGCTGTCAGTCCGGCACACACGCTTGACTTCTGTTCGAGACTACACGGTGAGCTACTCTTCTGAGCCGTTCAGCAGCAGCCGGAGTCTCTCTTTTGATTTATTTTCTGTCTATTATATTTCAGAAAGTAGAGTAAAATTCTTTTGTATATCCTACTAGTAGCCCATATACTTGTGACACCAGGTCTTGGCACACACACACTAGTAGACTCATGATTTTGGGTTCATTGTATGATTTCGATTTGTATTCAATTGCTTTCGTTTACGCATTATACATTTGTCTTTTCCTAAATCATTTAAAATGAGAGAAGTCATTTACTTGGTAAACTTGTTTAAAACAGAAAATCACTAGATTGTTCGGTGTTGGGCGCCATCACGGCCTATAATAGAATTGGGTCGTGACATAGATGGAATAAATGAAACACATAAGGATTAATGATTAAAAGTCATTAATTACCTCTCAAATGGATACATCCATCTGCATTGAACTGGTCCTTCAAGCCATGTCTTTTGTGCAGGGTAAATTGGAAGATGTTCCATCACGTCAAACCAAAACCAAGAGGAAATTTTTTTGCCAACTTGTTTGAAATTACGGGAATGTTACTCTCCAGTAAGTTAGGTTCTCCACCCTCAAGGTTCTAGAACACAACTCCTTGAAAAATAAGCATACCTTTGTGATGGGCTTCCATATTCTATCAGGAAATGCATTAAACGCAACACGCATCAAAGATTCCATGAAAATGTGACGATCATGGCTTATCATAGACGTCAACTTTCTTTCTTTTATGTCAACACACTAGGCAGGTTTGATGCATACCCATCAAGCATACTCAAATAATTAACCCAATCATAAATCTCTCTTCTTTCCTCCAAGGTGAATGTAAAACTGGCCTTGGGTTTCTGAATCTTGTTGTTCAAATATGTCAGATACAACTCACTCCACCTACAATATTCCTTTAACTCCATACTGGCCTTCAAATTATCCTTTTTCTTTTTTTGACATCCATCACAGTATTAAACAAGTTGTCAAAAAAGTTTTTCTCGATATGATGACATCAAGATTATACCAAAGAAGATTGTGCTTCCAATAAGGTAACTCCCAAAATATGCTTTGTTTAGTCCAGTTGTGTGTAACACCATAACCATGTATCTTATTAGACAAGGGATACTCTTTTACCTTAGGCAGATCCCTAACTCTATTCCAAATCTCTTCCGGAGACAAGACGAATGGTGGCTTCTCATAATCAGTTTTGTTCTTTATAAATGCATTAGTATTTATCCTGAACCTTATGATCCATTGGCAAGAAGCGGTGATAGCAGTCAAACCATGTGTTCTTACCTTCATGTTTTTAAGTAAATGCTTTTTATCTTCCATACAAGTCGGGCAAGTTAAATTTCCGAAGGTTGACCCCCCAGACATCATTCCATAAGCAGAAAAATTATTTATAGTCCATGTCAAAGTAGCACGCTGTCACGACCCTAAATTCAGACCCGGTCGTGATGGCGCCTCTCATGAAGACAAGGCCAGCCGACACACACCAAATTTATTTTAAGCCATTAAAATAATACAAATTAAGTCTTTAACATAATAATAATCCCAAAATAAAGGTGAATAATATAATTTGCGGAATAGACATAGCCCGACATCGAGGTGTCCCAGCCATGAGAATCTACTAGCCGATTAAGAACAGGAAGAGTCTACATAGTCTATTACAGAACTAAAACAAGAGAAAATAAGATAGAAGGAGAAGCACTGGGCTGCGAACGCCGATCAGCTACCTAGAGAATCTCCGAATCCGCTTGAGCTGGAAGAATCAACA